CCCCCCACCCCCGTAAAAAAAATTCTGCAGGCGCCACTCGAGCACAGGTCACGTCAAGAAGGGCATTCCGAGTAAAACATCACCAAATCTTTAATGCAAGTTTGCCCATTGTGGCGACCCCTACAGCTGAAAGAAAAAGTACAATTACAACTTCGAGACATTCGGATGCTGATGTTTGTCAAGTTGAAGCTGAATGATGCCTTATGTGCTCACATTTACAGTACTTACAAATAAAATGAAGAACATGAAGGTTTATGTAATTGGCGCTTGTTTTGCTGTCAGCTGCTTTCCAGTTATTTTTAATCACCACTGTGTTCTTGTGTTTCTTCATAAAGCAAGCACAAAGGCTTTGAAACAACTCCAGCCGGCACACAGTGGGGAAAAAAAGCAGCAGTTAGAAAACCTAATGCTTGTCCTGGTGCTTAATGGTTTTCTTTAGCTGCAAGCAATAAAATTATCCCAGGTCCTCACTTATGTTGGAATAATCATTTACAAAGATGGTTACCACATGCTGGAACTGTTTTTTTCTCGTTCTCCCCCCTCTTCTTTATGGCCTTAATTCACTGTTATTAATAATGAATATAAATGCAATTTTCAATTGGGTTGCTCCAGGGCCCTGGGAATCATTTCAATGAATATTTCAACACATTATTTTAATCATGGCTCCACATATGCAGCAAAGGGGGCTTGTTTTATAGGCTCATGCTTCAGCTGCCTCGAGACCCTGATCATTAAACTCCATGCTGTCTGCAGTGAGGCTCTCCTACCTTTGATTTACAAGACTTGTTAAAAAAACATTGTGAAAAGAAGGCAAGCTGTGCCATTTATACTTGTAATTTGAAGCTGTATTTGTAAATGGGGGGTGTCTATGATTTATGTGTGGAGCATTTGCTGCTACTCCCTGCTGTTATGATGCTACAGCCTTTAGAAGAATTAACACTACCGAGACCAGAGCATGATAATATTCACCTAATAAAGTCCACTATCTGTGGTCATACACCCCCACCCACCATGATGTGGCGTGTGTGTGTATATGATAGCTGTAATCAGATCATCACCGAGGCCCATGTGCGCTGTCTAACCTGCCTGTTACCTTGTCTCTGTCACAGTCAGCTGCACGACTTCTGGCGTCTCGACTACTGGGAAGACGACCTGCGACGGCGGAGGAGATTTATCAGAAACCCTTTTGGCTCCACCCACCTAGATGTTGCATGCAAGTCATTGCAGGAGTATGGTGAGTGCATCACATCTTTAAGAAAATGCTGTATATGTTTAAATCGTTGAGGAATATTACCGTATATGCAGCGTCTTGGTTCCTGTGGAAGCATATGTTTCAAATTCAAAGCTGTAGCTTGTTCATACATGCTGCTTTGGAGAAGTTTTATGAGAACGCATAAAAAAGGACATTATCTCTCTGCTTTTACTGTTTTCTTCCCTTTGACTTGAACTTTCTTTATTGACCCGGGAAGCTGTGCAGTGTTGTCCACGATCTAGTGTCTGTTCAGCTTTAAATCCTTCAGCTCAAACTTTAAAAACAAAAAATCTGCTCTGTGATATTAAAGTTTCTCAGTCCATTCGCCTCTAACAGAACAGCAGAGATAAAGTTTGGATTGTAAAATTTCAACATTCATCTTGGTCAGTTTTACATTTAAACTTTAGCTATACATGTATTTCTAATTGAGACAATGTTAAAATATATTGTATTTTAGTGTTGAGCTACTGGAATAGACCATCAACTAAGTTCATCTCATGTGGTTGCGCTCAGCGTTTGTTCCACAAAAGATGGCGGCTTCCACATGCATATCATGGCAGCTTTGTAGATAAATACTTGCCAGCTGTTGTTGCAGCAGCAGGTGGTCCACATACAAGACGCATGCAATAATTACACCTTCTGCTTTAGATTTTTGTTCATTCTTTTCATTTTTTTTAGATTAAAGCTAATTTTTGCTGACTTCAAGTGATGTTGACTCCTCTGTTGAAGGGACTCAAGTCAACAAGTTCTTTATTGCTGTTTTTGATCTGCTTTGAGAAAAATGTTAGACTTTTGCACACTTAAGTTTCGATTTTATTTATTTATTTTACAAAAAAATTGCACTGCATTGCATCAACACTGACTAGTGCAATAAATGTGTAAAACTGATCCAATATCAATTGAAAATTCTTCTTCCGTTCTTGCAGCTTTTGACTTCTTGTTGTTTGTTTCTCAGTACTTCATATTGGGCCTTTCGGCTGCTTTAATTGATAAATGGGTGTATTATCTTCTTTAGAGACTTGTGTGACAGTTCACCTGAAAATGTTTGTGATTAGTTATTTTTCCTCATGTTTGACTCGGTGCCGTTGACTAAGTGTTGAGGTCTTGCTGGCGTGTGGTTGATTTAATGAGCAGAATTATGTATAAACTTGTCAGGTGAAAGAGATTGCCTGCAGTCAGATGCTCTCTGTGAGTGGTGAGCTGCTTTTGCAGGCTTTTTTCCTGCGGGCTTTGATCTGGTTGCATAGCAAAGGATTTTGCTATGCAACCATAGCAAGTTAAATTGAAAGAAACTTTTTTTGTTTTTTTGTTGATGATTAAGGCCACTGTAAATTTAGTTGGATTTGACAATAGTGGTATTATTTATATTATTATGACTTTTTTGTATTATGTATTTTTAAAAATCAAAATGCTGAGAGCCAGACTTTGTCTGTGGGTAACCCAGTTGCAAAAGCTCAGAAATTTTTTCACCATTAGTTTTTATGTTCGCTGATTTTGTTTGTTTTATCATGGGGAGTTGAAAGATACAAATGCAGGACAGACATGAGCCTGCAAGTGAAGGACAACGACTTTGACAAAACAAAGAAAATCGTACATTTTGAAAAGAAAATGAGAAATGTATATAATCTGAGGGCCGGCCAGCTGTCAACAAGCGGGAAGACAAGAGCCAAAGAGCTGGACGAAGGTTTAGTGGTGAGAAAAAACCATTGGATAAAAAAATACTCTGAGAGCAAACGAGGGCAAAAGACAGAAATAAAACCAACTGAAGTAACCAAGAACACAATCTGTTTTGAGATATTTTGCAAACAGAAAACACGCAGATGCTTTTTGTATTTTTTTTTCCAAAATTCCAAGATACATGATATTTATACTTTCAGATCACTTTTTGCGCATTCTGTCTGTGTGTGTGTGTGTGTGCGCGCGCGCGTGTGTGTGTGTGGCTGGGTGGTTGTGCACAATGATGGGAGGTTAAACTCTGCCTCCTTGTCTATTAGCACCACTGACAGCTTAGCTTGCACATTCTGTCTCTGCCCTTTGCCTGTAATAACCCAGCGTGTAACAGCCAGCCTCCGCCCAGCATCAGACTATATTGTTAGGTGATTGGAATTGGGCAAGCATGAAATGGAAGTCACGTTAATATTGATCCAAATGTTTAACGGGGTGTTTTACCTCCGAGTGTCCTTGCTGTCTCATTTCAGGTGAAGCTTGAGGATTGCACCAGGCAGAGATCTTTATAGCCTTTTACTTCTGCGGGTGCAGCCTTGTGATGTCATATTAACCTTTTCTGGCATTATTATTAAATACAGTAAACTCTGGCACGTGATGTTTCCAACAGGTTTAAATGTGGGGATTGTTGGGCAATATTCTGTTTTCGTAGAGGGAAGATGAGATTGCTGTGTCGACATGGTAAACTGGCGCTGTACATACTGTCCCACAATACTGGATAAAGATCACTTCAACAGGAAACGTCTGCTCTGTTTAAAGTTCCCTATATCAAAGTTATGATGTTTAGCTTCACAGATGCAAAACATGCAAGAATGTCTCCCATCACAGGGAATTAAATCTGTCGTTTCTCCACCTCGCTTCATTTTCCAGCACACAGTAACTAAAAGGAGAAAGACAGAGGGCAGAATTGCATCGTAGTGGTAATTCAGTCGTACAGACAGATCTGTTTTTTTTTTTTTTTTGGAATGTGGAGCCTGTGGAGAGAGTGCGTAGGAGTGTGGGATGTGAAGCAGAGTTTGGGAAAAGGAAGAGGTATATTTTTAAAACATTTTAAATATCTGGCAATTTAGCAATTACTGCTTAAATTACTTTGTTTGTGGAGACAGCTGATGCACACGCCACACAGATCTTACGTAATGGAACATAGAATGGAAAAATTCATGCAAAAACCAAAAAAGCTGAACCTCGCATGAGAAGAGAAACATCTTCAGTTTTGTTTTCAAAGTATTAGACAAATTAACTATTGAATCTTTGTCCTAAGTCTCATTAAAAATGAGTGAAATAGTTGTGTTCACATTCTCACGTATCAGAATATTCTTTGATTTCTGCAGCAACCATTTTTTCTTGTTTATTTTTGCCTTCTAAAAACTTAAAATCCAGTTTTTGCTCTCTTTTTTTCTGAATCTAAATTTTACTTTTTTTAAATCATAGAAATTGGCCTTTGTATCATTATGTTGCATAATCTTTTATCAACACTCTGATTAGTGAACTGGGAGAAAAAAATTATGTTTAAAAAGCAAATTATGTTCCCCTTACCAGTGTGGTGTCTCATTAGTTGTATTTTCTTTACATAATTGTTCAGATATATGTGTAACAGATGGCAGGACTGGTCTGCAGTCGGACAACTTCATAATCTGAACAATATCAATGAAGACATGTTGATGCAGCATGAACAAAGTATGGTTTGATTTTGTCTTACTGAAAGAATCAAAGCCTTATCCGCTCAAAACACCTTAAAAATAGCATACTTTGCCCCAATGTTTACATTATTTTTTATATCCTTCACTAATGTGCAAGTTATTCTTACCATGTAGACTTACTACAGTCAGAAACATATGTTCATATTTGAGCCTGTATTTTCCAAAACAAGGTCTGATTAAATGTTTTGATTTTAACTCGCATCTTAACTTCATCTTGAGTTCAAAGGATTTGGATCTGTGTTTGTGTGTACTTTTATTTCACAGCACAAGTTTTAACTCATTTTGTAAATGCAAATTGTATTTGATATATTAGGAATAACTTGTTTTAAATTGTTTGACCTTGTCGCTTCTTTACACAAAGATCTATTTTTTTCTGAATTGTACACATTTGTAATTTTTAATGCTTAAAATGAAAACTCCCAAAGTATTTTGCAGGTTTATTTTGAGAGAATAGTTTGATTGTTGAAGCGGTGAACTTTGCTCCATCTTTATGCCCTTAAGATTCAGCCTTTTATTTTTTATTTATTTTAGATTTTTTTTTTTTTTGTATCCATTTGTCCTTCTTCTCTACAGTGAGGCCGTTTACGCTGTCACTAACTTAAGGATCAAACTTAAAGTCTGTAGAATTTACGTTGTTCTGCTTTCAACATTTTTACATTTTCAAGAAGCTGTTTTGACAGCAAGCAGCTCATGGACGCCCTGAAAGGGACTCGGCTCTGTGCTTTCCAGCTGAACCCCAGCGACGAGTGCTCCGAGTCGGCCTCCGTCAGTGACAGCCGGCAGATCTTCATCAGCCTTCAATGAGGTCATGAAAGCTCTGCAGTGCACTTTACGGAGTGTAATTAGTGCACTCTGAGGCAGTTTCAGCTCAGTGATTGAACAAGAAGACCCCAGAGACTCGTGATAGGTGGCTTCTCCTGGCTGGCACTGTTCCTGAAGAGCTCGAAAGAAAACATGAAATAAAACTGCTGTCATATTGTCACACAGTGACAGTAACTTTTTTGTCTTTTACTGCTTTTGTACGGTTTTAAAGTTGTAGTTAATCTGGCATTGTTATATTATTAAACTGCACAGCAGCTTTTTCCTGATCATTAATACAAATTTATATCTGGTTACAGTTTTGCGTACAGTAAGGTATGAGCCAAAATTGACAGATAATTGTGAACAAAATCATTTTTGCTTTTACTAAATTTGTATATTATTTGACTGAGACGATAGTTTTCTTTATTAACTTGTAATTACTAACGTGTTTGTTGGTGCAAATTTGAAAAATAAAGCAAACTTCTCTTGAGATAAACCAAATGAAAGATAATGAATAATGATTTTTTTACTTAAAATCTTTTTTCCCTATCATACCATTTTCTAATCACTCTATCATGACACTCCTGCATGTCAAACCCTTTAACAGTGACAAATGGCAGCTCTTCTATCACAGAAGTAACGCTAAGTCAGGAAATGATCACCTATGAGATTACAACTGATTCTGTGCTTCGTGCTGTAACTTTTCTATTTTAAACCACAAGTCATTTTATTTCAGAAATAAATTGCACTGATTAAAGCATTGCATTGTTTCCCCAATCACTACCATCACACACACACACACACACACACACACACACACACACACACCCCCACACACACACACACACCATTTGATGTTGATTATTTGCGTGTTGAAATCAGCATGGTTTATTTGGCCTTCTAAACCGTGTCCAGAACGTCCAATCAGAACAGCAGCCCGTTCGCTGAGTTTTCCCTCATTAACTTGGAGCGTAATGATGGTTTACAGAAATACAGTTTTAAGTTTCACTCTGCTTTGATTTCTGACCACTGGCTGGCTTTCCCCTTCAACAATGCACAGGATTCATTTCCGAAATGTTCAAACTTCTTCCCCTCGTTTGATGAAAGCACACCAGATATGAGACAGAGCAGGAAGCAGGCTATTTTTAATTTATTTTATTTTTTTTACTCTCCCTCCTCTGACTCGCTCTCCTCCTCAGTAGCAGTGTTGACAACAGTCAAATGTGACCTCTTCAAGACAAGGTACATGTTCCTCAGGGAAGAGAAAAGTGAATTAAGAACTGTGGTGAAAGGAAACATGTCAGATGAGTGTCAGCCACCTGCCTTACCTTGAAATGTGGTCTTTCTTTTTGCACATGCTGATTTTTCCTTTGGTTCTTACAATGAACCTAATTCATAGAAGCACTTTTAGCAGCTGCGTAGTAGACACATTATTGAAGAAGGGCTGATAAATACATTTACTTTATTTCCAGTGTGTGAATGCATCCTCTTCAATAAGCATCTTCCACTTATAGCAAAAAGAAATCCTGCCATAAAAAGCCTCCTAAACGTCCTGTCTGTTCATTCTCATTCTTGTCAAGTCTCCAAAAGCACCCAAAGCTACCGCTAATCTACTGTGAGTGTGACGTGTAATTCAGCTTTTGGTCTTTCTGAGATAAAGATTATGTTTTATTATTAACCTTGTCTTAGAATAAAAACCTAAACATCTCTGATGTTCAGTGACTCAAAACGAATCTTGTGGAGGAACCCTGCCATTCTTTCATATTCTATAACATCTACGCATGAGTGTGTCTTTTGCTGTGATCATATGATTGTGTTGTGTGTGTGTGTGCTGATATTTTCTATGGCTTATTGTGACACATTATTGCAGCCTGATGGATGAAATAGTTTTTTTTTTTTTTTTGCAAAATATCAGTTGTTTCTGTTTTCCACCACTAATCTGAATACTTTAGGCGGTTGTTTGTTCTTGTCTTGTTGCGTCTGCGTTTTCTTGTATTTTTTTTTCAGAATTACAAATTGTTCTCATTATAATGCATTGCTTTGACTTTCTGTTGCTCTGCTCAGTTTTGTAACAATCGCTGTTTTTTTACTGCACCCGTAAATGTGATGATAGAGAGTAACAGAGCAGGAATGTGAGAGTAGACGAGTTCATGTCAAAATAGTAAAGTGATGATTTTGCAAAGACTTGCAAAATGCTTCATTCAGAAACTAAGCTGCAGGTGAATTAGTGTTTTTGTGTTCTGTTTTAATAAATACTTTTTCCACAAACACAAATAAAGCTGTACCCGCTAAGCTGTAACGTTACCTTCATTTATTAATGAAGCAAATAATATGCTGATATCATATGTTGATCATGACTCATTAATGATATAGTAGTCAATTTTTTGTTTAGTTTTTTTTTCTTACAGTAACATAAATCCAGAAAATTTGATTCATTCAACCTAATAAGAATGCCTCTGGGGCACATTTATTAGGTCCAATAATGGGCTTCCAGTGTCTCAAGCAGCTACTTAAAAAATGAATAACATGTCCTGGTAATGTGTATCATCTTTTATGTCTGCAAATGAAAAAGAAAAAAAGAAGTGCTAGTTAAGAGCTGGTGGTTCTGAGACTTGAAAAAAAAAAGGGGGGGGGGGGTCTAACTCTCCAAAAAAAACCTTTAATGTGTGTAGCTTGTTATGTTAGTGATCAGTACCTCTTCAACTAGCAAACTCTAGAAATCCCCCAGTAAAGAAACATCTTGTTTTTATAGATGGAGTAACAGCTGCTGTTACTCAGTACAAGTTTTAGCTTCAAGTGCTGCCACGTTTTTTTTTAACTAAATGTTTAGTTTTTTTTATTAAAAAAGGCAAACATTAAGTACTCATTAGGAAAATAAAAATAAAAAAGTGAGATGAGTTCTCCCCTGCCTTAGCTGCTGCTTAGAATAAACTTTTTTTTTTTTGTGGGAAAACTGGCAAACAAAAATCTTACCTTCGAAGGGCCAAACACATCTGTGACCCTTCCTCTCATGTTTGTTGTCATAGATTTGAAGGCAGGTGAGGCGGGGAAATCTAAGGCAGTTTTCCGGAGCCCAACTGTGGCCAGTCAGAGCCCAGAGACAGAACTGATACTGGACGGAGACAACGACAACGTCAGCCTGCTGCAGGAGAAGGAGGTGGACAACCTGGGTGGTACGTCAGCTTTTTAATAATCCCTCAAACGATTTCACCTCTGAAATAATACCACTCTGATTTTCATCAGTCGTAGCACGCTGCTGGAAAGTGGGTGTGATGTCACCGAGTGTGTAAACTTGAATACTTGTCCCACATCACAGCGCAGCTTTAAAGCAGTTACAAGATACAAGTAATTTAAAAATATGCTCCTCAGTTAGTTTGTCTCCAGAGGAAAATCTTCCGAAGCTAAACTAACCTCAAAATAATAAGAATTATTAATATGATGCTTAAGGCTGCTTGTTGAAAAGTCATGTTGACTAATTAAAAAGGGAAAATAAAGTAAGAAAAAAAATCTGATTTTATTTTTCCCCATAAAAACATAGGCTAAATTCTCATGTGTTTATTATTTATTTACAGTTATTTGTTTACCTTCTTGGACTTTGGTCAGCCTAATGTAGGTCAGTCATGTGACTCAAACATGTTATTTGTGTACATTAAGTATGAACCCTCATTCCAGGTTTGCATTCAATAGATCTAGGAAGCTGTAAATGATTTCAAAGTGCACCATTTGGGTTTAGAATAACATTTTGTTTCATTTCATATATAGCGATGACTAATCGTTCACCCTTTGACTTATTGTTGTCCCCATATTTAACCGAATTCAAAAAATTTTAAGCAATTAAAACATTTAATCATGTTGTTTTATTGCCGTCTTCAATAATGTGCAATGTTTTATTACGTTCGTAAAGCTGTAATGAAAGGCTAGCGTCATGAAGTTGTCATTAAATCAGATGACTTCTTGTAAACTTTTTGTGAAAACAACCTATCACATGAAAAATCTAAAATTATTAGTCCGTAACACATGATTATTTATTTGGGGTTTGAAATGCCTTAACACAGACATGAAAACTTGTTGCACACAATGAAGCTCGTTTTACAACTTGTTAGTGCAATTTGCTTTTGGGGGCTGCTATTCTGAAATTAACACATGATCAAACTTTTTGAGCTAAATTATCCAGCTAACTTTGATCCAGTTTTTAATGAAGTAACTTGGTTTTAATAGTTCTTCAGAACTGATTAGTTTTGGTTTAGATCATGCTCCACCATATCAAAGCCAAACCTTCACCCAACACATCCAAGCCACGTCATTGACTGTATGCCTGAATAATGAAAGCTTACCGCCTTGATATCTTCGATTTTGAAAGCATTTCTCATTGTCTTCTAACAAAAAAATAAAAGCATTGTTTGTGTCCATTCCTTCTCCATTTGTCTTTGATTTGTTTTTACTGTCTCAGCTCCATTATTCCTTGTGCATTTTTTTTCTTTGTTTTTTTAGATTGAGGTGTATGACATGACATTCTTTAGAAACCATTATTGCATTTTAGATTGTGTCAAATCATTTCCAATTTATTGACATTATGATTCCTTACAGGTATGATTTGTGACTTAAATGTATAAAAATAGGGTTAGAAAATCAAGATTGTTATTCATCTAAAGGTGTCAGTTCAAAATCCTATAATGCCCATGGCTAAGCATGTGAGGCTTTTACTGAATCAGGGAACTTCTGAGCAGTAAAATCCCCTCTAAAATCTTACAAATGAATCTCTGAGGAGGAGAACCCCACCCCAACTCGTGTTCCAGGACCAGCAGGCAGCCAAATGTGCCATAGTTTGTCCAAAGAAAAAGACAAGAACTTGTACACAAACAGAGTTTTTTTTTTTGTGTTTTTTTTCTCCCCAAGGAAAGCCAATACTGACCTTATAAAAACAGAAACTGAACTGGGTTTTGGGGGAGAACTGAAACAAAGCTAAAAGCAGTGCATCGACTAAGTGAAAGAAAAGATGTCTGTCTTTTGTTGAGTGTAAGTTCTTCTTGTCGTCAGTAGGGGAGCTCCTTCGCACCAAAACAGTCAGGTTATGTTTTGAGGCAGGATGCTTGGTATGTGTTTGTCCTGTTTAAAATCTCAGGCATGAACAGCCTTAATGAGAGATCTGGGACTAGACTCTTGTCAACAACAGCCCTCCTCCTGCCATCCACTGGGTCAGCGCCTGCTTGCTGCTGCTGCTGCTGCCAAAGAGGCGGCGCCTGCGCTCATGAGCTCAGGCAGTTGTGGTTACTGAACCTATGATTAGTTTTTCCTCCCCCACAAACACAGAAAATGATGTTTGTACTTGGGCTGGCATCAAATTAGCTTTTTTTCCCCCTTGTATGTACATATGTGACCAAAAGAGAAATGCATGTGAGTGGGAAGAATTTAACAGTCTGGGCCTTTCAGGATGTTTCCCACGTCGAGGAGGAGCCTGCAGATTGGACTGTCCTGCCAGCATACCGGAAGCATGTTAAAACATCCCAAAGTGTGGCTTAGCCACCACAATCATCTTGTCTTGCTTTAATTTAGACTTTTTATTTCCATTTTAGGACCCTGTTTAAAATACCAATCATTTGAGTGGTGACGTGTTTACAACCAAACAATTCTGGATGTATCTGATCTGAAGAAATATTTTTAATTCTCTTCTGTTTACAAATGTACTTGAATTCATAAAATTATATTTAAATACAAATAATCTACTTGGTAATTTAAATGTGTTTTCTACTATTCTGTAAACATTAAACCCGTCTGTTCAGCACTCGTTAAATGGTGGTTCAGTCCACTTCCCTGAAATGAGACTTTTCATCACTTCATTAAATTGACCATTCATTTGAGTATTATTTGTATTTTCATTGATATTAAGGCCCAAAAGCGAGAGATTCTTCATCCTGTGTAACTTCCTCCTAATTTCATTATTTTCATGTAAACATTTTAATGCCTTATAACCTAATTATGGAAGACTCCCTGAGGGGATTAGTGCTTAATCCTCTTCCTGCCCATGAGCAGTGGATGCTTAAGGCTGTACTGTCAGTGAAGCACTTCAGGGACAGAACACAATGTTTCACCTCCACTAGTAGTGAGATTATTGTATTGTTCATACGGTCTGATAAACATTGAGATGAGATACTTTTCCTCTAACTGACTGACAAAAAATATATAAAGTATCAAATATAATAAAAAGTTATATTATGTTTACTTCACCTGAATATTTTTTTTTATTTGCTAACAATCTAATCTGAAAATGTAGTAAAACCAGCTGAAGTGACTGGGTTATTAATAAAAAGCTCATAAGCAGTGTGTAGTATCTGGCTTTACGATGTCAGCAGATACAATAATCGTTAATGGAACCGAGAAAGAGAGAGAAAAAATATCCAGGGAGGATGGGTTTAACTGGGCAGTCTGGAAGAGCGATGAAGGGACGCGCTGGGAATTCAAACCAAAATCCACTTGTATTCCTGTAACACTATCGCCCGTAATTGGCTGAAGAACGCAGATTAAGATTGACGAGACATTAAAGGGGCTCTTTGGAGTTTAAGGGATCGATAAATATCCTGGTTCGGAGAGCCTGGGAGCAGACAAATCACTGTACCGGTGCTCCACAGCGACACTGATCTGAGAACAAGCTGGAGGGGGGGCTGAAATCAAACATGATCTCGAGCACGCGGTCACCAACACCTGAACACTTGACAGCAAGCTCTCTTAGTGCAGCAGTAGGTCTGTGGTGTCCCCGTTAGAGTTTAAATAATCTGAATTAAGTGGGAAATGCTCTGATAATCTCGTGTGCAAATACAGAAATTATTTAATTGTTTTACTTTTCTAAACTTAGTGGAATCCTATTTCTAAATATTGATGTAAAAAACATTTATTTTAAAACAAATTATTTTCAAAAAAAATCATGCAGAGAACGGGTCGGGTTTTGCGCACGTGACTATGAGCAAAAATAAAAATAGAAAAAAACTGCTGTATTATTG